AAAGTGCAGGGATTACTGACATGAGCCACTGCACCCAGATTATGGCGTTTTCTTAACCTTCATATTGATAGCTTGCAATTAGGTGGGAATATTCATAAGTGTCTAGTAAAGCTACCAAGATGATCTTTTTAATCTGTGAGAATCCTCTACTGAGTCATAGGGTAATAATATACTAAAGCCACTAACAAATGGATCAAAGCTAAAAATCAAGGACAAGAGAAAATTTAAATAAAAAGATTATAGCTTAAAAAGGTAGCAATAATATTAGGACCTAGAATTTTCCTCTTTTAATTACATGCTTCTTTTGCCAAAGTTCTAGACACAATTTTGAAATAAAACGTTTATATAAGAACCAGAGGTAAAGAGGATGGCAATTTTTTAGAATGTGGTCAGCCACCAAAGCAAGAATTAAATTAGAAATGCAAAATTCAAATACAAATCCACCTAAAAATATGTAATTTTTTCAGTAACACTTTCTCCACTTTTTCACTGTTATAAATATAATCAAGAAAAAAGTTAAATAATATCCACAGTAGAACACATACTTCTGTTCAATTAACTGAAAATATTCCATGTAAATAATCTATATTTCCAACAAATCAGCCAAGATACTGAGTATAACATTCTCCTTTCTATATCAGAAGAATAAAATATTAGATATTTATCCATATCTACCAACAAGAATTAAATACACTAGGTTTAAGACTTCTCACACAATGTTTTAAAAAATCCATGTCAATAAAAAGTTAACATTCATATACTCAAGGGTGGATTACACAACCAAGGAAGAGAAATGACGGAACAGAGTTCCAAGACCTGAGATCTAAGCTCTCCTCAGTAACTAATTAGCTTTAAGTTTTTAGGTAAAACTAAAAACATCTTGGGCCTCAGTTTCTTCAATCTGCAAAATGAGGTGGTCAAATTACATGATCTCTAAAGCTGTGTCAGTTGGACAGTATGGAAAAGCAAATAGTTGTCAATGCCTAGAATATATTATACTACAAAAAGTGTGACTCTTTGAGGTGATATCAAACAAGACAATATAAAAAAAAATACTTCTCCCTAAATTTGGAAGTATATTTCTTACCCATCTAATCTCCAAGTTTATAGCTATGATCAAATAAAACCAGTACTTGGGAATTAATAGATTCACTGAAATCTCACCTGCTTGTTACTTATTTTTCTATAATATTTAAGTTGAGGAAGTGCCTCCACTGGGAAAATGCAGCATGCCTAATATAATTACTCTTTTAAATAAAATTAATGAACATTTAGCCAGGCATTGTGATAAGTGCTAAAGATGTAATGAAGAACAGGATAAGCACAGATCTTCCTAGTAACATTTACAGACTAACCAAACAGAAGCAAATGGGGAATTTCAGTACAATGGGACAAAGGTCAAGAAAAAAAAAAACTATAGCTTTATACTGTCAAAAAAGTAGAAAAATTCACCTTTTTGCCTCTTAAGGGAATAAATAATACTGGATCCTGGAATTAAATGTGTTCCATGAACAACAGTGCACTCAGGATCCTGTCTAATGTGGAAGCACAGCTAACACCAGCTTCTCTTTATTCTCTATCGCAAAACAGTAATTTAACATGTGGGCTCAACAGGGATTCTCTCTAGTCTGTGGGTCCCGTCTGAGAGTGCCGGCCTGCTCTAGATGTGACATGTTGTCCCTACTGTCTCAATGTGAATATCTTTGCTACTTCTCATTTCTTGAACAAAAGCTGTGATGCTTGTCTTTGTCCTTGCCTCTCATGGGGCCTTTCTGTCCAAATAGAAGTTTCTGACTATCCATCTCTCTGGTGGAAACTCTTTCAATACTGCTATGAATTTGCCTGTCTGGGACTTTGCATGTTCATTTATTCAGATACTAATCCCTGACTAGAGTCTTCTACTAGAACTAGAAAATCCTGGAAATCTCTTTCTCCATCACCCCGGACTATAACATCTCTCATCATGTGCATGCTGTCAACAAAATTACTCCAATCAGTCCTTTCCTTTGAATGTCTCAACAATTTTCTTAATTCAGACTCTCACCCTGTCTCACTATATGGCAAAAGCTTCTTAACTGGTCTTGCTGCCTCCAGTCTTCCCAACTCCAAACTACTTCCTTTCACCTCACTACCAAAATGATGCTTCCAAAACATAAATATAAGCATGCCACTCTCTTGTTCAAAACTCCTTTGTGATTCTCCATGCCACGTAGATGTGAATCCAGGATCCTCAAAATGACAAACAATGCTCTACTGGAGGAACCTAACCCCTCTGCCTGGAGCTCCATCCCTTGACATTCTCTATGTCATACGTTCATATTTTGTGATTGCCAAATCATGACAGCTTTTTTGCATTCATCAAACTGCTTCTCTACCAAGCCTTTCCTAGAACTTTGTTCCTTGCATGCTTGTTCTTTGCTCTTGACCTGGCTGGTATAAATATTGACCAGGGACATCTGCCTACATGGCAGCTGGTGCACACTTCTCATTATAGCTCTGACTTAAAATACTGAAATGATTGCATATGTGTCTGTCTTTCCTAAAGGCCAGGACCATGTCTTGTTCATTTTTAATGCCCACGGCATGTAACAGCATCTCAGACATAGTAGTTTCTCAGTAAATTCCACTAAGCTGAAGAAAATTTGGCCTTACAATGTCTTGTCAGAACTTATTACAAAAACATATCCCTAATCTGTGGAAACTGCTTACCTGGCATTCCTTAATAACAATGTGATGATGAACACTGAGTGCCAAATTGATTAGATTGAAGGATACAAAGTATTGATCGTGGGTGTGGCTGTGAGGATGCTGCCAAAGGAGATTAACATTTGAGTCAGTGCGCTGGGAAAGGCAGACCCACCCTTAATCTGGGTGGGTAGAAGATAATAGCTGCCAGCATGGCTAAAATATAAGCAGGCAGGAAAAATGTAAAAAGAGAGACTGGTTGAGCCTCCCAGCCTACATCTTTCTCCCATGCTGGATCCTTCCTCCCCTCAAACATTCGACTCCCGGTTCTTCAGTTTTGTAACTTGGACTGGCTCTCCTTGCTCCTCAGCCTGAAGATGGCCTATTGTGGGACCCTGTGACCGTTTGAAGAAATACTTAATAAACTCCCCTTTATATCTATTCCATTCATTCTGTCCCTCTAGAGAACCCTGACTAATACAGACCATCTCAATCCTCTTCCTTCCTGTAGTTTCTTATTATTACCATTCATTAGCTATTGTACCTGTAAGTATAGTCCAACTCCTAGTTGGACTTCATATTTTTATTATGCCACCAGTGCCAACAATGCAGCTGTGATGCAATCTCCACCCAATCCTTGTTTTCTAGAATTAACACTAACAGAACAAATTCATTTGGCAGATTTATGAAAACAATTACTGAATGCCCTCAGAGGTCCTTCTAATACTGCAAGACATCAGAATGGACTATCTGAAGAGCAATTCTACTTTCCATATAGTTTTTTGTCCTCTGATTTCAGATCTTATCTTCAATACTTATAGAGCTGTTCAGTCATAGTTCATGGGAATTACAGTATTGCAACCCATCAATAACCTAAGCCATCTTTCTAGCAAATAGATTCAATTCCCCCTTAGACAGTTGGTCAGTGTGGTATTTTTTATCACAACCTGTTTACACTGTGGAAGGAATAGTTGTCTTATGCAGTCTTAGAACTGGTCTGATCAGAAGTTCAATCCCATTAAATGATAAGGGAAAACTACTCACTAGCTCCCAAATTAAAGAGCTATGATTAAGAGTCATCTCTGGCTCTCATAATTTAACTGAACTACAGCAGTGAAAGCTTTCTATTCTGAAATGATAAAGATTTTAACTTGAAAGAAAATTCTAAGTACATTGCTCCTGTTGTCAGAATTGTGAAGTTGAGAAAAAGAAAAAAGAGAAATGCAATATCAATGCACAACCGAAGTTTCTGGCCAAAACATTCTGAGACAGCAAAACATGTATATTCTAAATTCCTTATTCAGGTGGCATAAATATAAATTGCATTTGTTTCTATCAAAAACAGCGAGAAATGCAAAGATTCAATGTTGAAAAGCAGTAGAATAAAATTCTAATGTTCCATCACTATACTTTTATTTTCTTGTTAAGAATGCTTTGTTTTAGGAGGCTTCTCTAATGCACAGTTGACCTTCAAAGGTAACCCTTATCTTTCTATCATCTCCCATCCATGTCTCACTCACCAATCTCAGGGATTATATGTGGTTTTACTCAAATATTCTCATCTTCGGCCGGGCGTGGTGGCTCAAGCCTGTAATCCCAGCACTTTGGGAGGCCGAGGCGGGTGGATCACGAGGTCAAGAGATCAAGACCATCCTGGTCAACATGGTGAAACCCCGTCTCTACTAAAAATACAAAAAATTAGCTGGGCATGGTGGCGCGTGCCTGTAATCCCAGCTACTCAGGAGGCTGGGGCAGGAGAATTGCCTGAACCCAGGAGGCGGAGGTTGTGGTGAGCCGAGATCGCGCCATTGCACTCCAGCCTGGGTAACGAGAGCGAAACTCCGTCTCAAAAAAAAAAAAAAAAATTCTCATCTTCATGCCATTGTTCTACCCATAACTAGCTAACTGCAGAACTACATATTTTTGTAAGACCAAATTTAAATATTGCATTTTTCTAGACACTGTCTAGACGTGCTGCCAGCATCACACCTTTCTCCCAGCACAAACAACAGAATTAGCTCTTCCTCCTTCTGTGTTCCTTTGCCAATGTTCACCTATATCTATAATCTGGTTCTTAATATTTCCACAGTTTTATTTTCCTTTATTCTCTAATTCCATGCCTACATATTTAACTTTTAAATGTTAAAATATAAAACATGGAGGTTGCGAAAATGGACTGCAGTGATCTCTTTCCTTACAACTAAGTATTACAGCCCCATATGCTCAGTTACGTGACAAAATAAATAGCTAAACCAAATAGGATAGCTTAAAGATCATAAATATTGTAACAACTTTAGGATTCAAAGATTAATTACCTTGCTTTCTGCTAACCAGCGATGTGGGTCATAATGTATATCAGGACCAGATGAAAAAACCTACAAAAGAGAAAAGAGTCTATTAGAAACACATTTTTTCTCTGACATAAACATATATAAATGAAATTCTTCACCACGGCATCAAAAATCTTAGTCCCCTAATTTAAGGATTAAAAAACCAAAAGTTTGCCCCAGGTATACAATCAGTTCCAAACCACCATTCATTTATATGACTCTTTATGTATGTAGTCATTGGTTCATGTATTAGCAATAATATTTTGATGAAAAGATCAACTGTCAAGCGCTATCATTGCTAGGATCTGTGGAGGCTGATTCTATGGAGTTCCATATAGCAATCACCTTCAATTAAAGCCAGTCTCCTTCATTTTTGTTTGTTTCTTTTCCTCAGTCTTTTTCTACATAATGTATTTCAAAAAAGGTTAGATGTGATTACATGGAAACAATTCGTTCTCTCACTTATCCTTCTTTAATACTAAAAGGGACATTTTGTCTCATCAATGGTGTCAATCGACAGAAACTCACCGACATGACTTCACACAAGTATTGCTTTGCATTTCAAAATAATAACAAAATGCTACAATAATAGTTCATCTACACTAGCTGCCTTGACTTCCTTCACGCCAATTCATTTATAAAATCCCTTGCATCTGGCTTTGTCTTATTACTAAAGTACAACTGTATTCAAAGTTGGCAATGACTTTATAATTGCAAATACAGAAGTTTTTTCTCAGTTCGTGCTTTCGTTGAACTCTGTGTTACGAATAATATTTTTGAAGACCTCTTTCTCAAATTTGCCTGTTTAAAAATATCCTATCCCTCTACGTAGAGATGTCTATTCCTTTTCTCAAAAACTTCCATACCTCCTGAGCTATGTGCACACTGCTTCTTTGTCAGGAATATTAACTCATTCAGACAAATGCTGAAAGCATATTGAGTCTCTACCACATACCACACACATTAATATTGTATTCTTTTATTTTTCGAGACACAGTATCACTCTGTTGCCCAGGCTGGATTGCAGTGGCGAGATCTTGGCTCACGGCAACCTCTAACTCCCGAGTTCAAGCGGTTCTCCGGCCTCAGCCTCTAGAGTAGCTGGGATTATAGGCACACACCACCACATCTGGCTAATTTTTATATTCTTAGTAGAGATGGGGTTTCATCATGTTGGCCAGGCTGGTCTCGAACTCTTGACCTCATGATTCACCTGCCTTGGCCTCCTAAAGTTCTGGGATTACAGGCAAGAGCCAATACGCCCAGTGAATATTGTATTCTTATATTCAGTTTTCCCTCATCCACCTTTCTCTCTATCTAAATCTCACCCAATCCTCATGTCCTCCCTGCCTCTTCAATGAAATTTTCCCTAATCACCCTAGTTCACAGTATATTCTTCCTCTTCCAACTCTCTATTGTGTTGCTGAATATTTGCAAACATCCATTTAATACTGATTAGAATATACTTTAATTATTTTCTTTTTCATTCATGTATATCATACATGCCAATTAAATCTTCTGTGGCCTAAGATATTAATGTTTAATATCACAGTAAAAGATAACTGGATATAAGTACAGTAATGTTCATATGTTATTATTTGCTTTACAGATTTATCTATAGCCTCATGTTTAAGAAGATAGCCTTAACCAATTAACAAATGGTGAGTTTTCAGCACCGTGTCTGGCATAGAGAACATAATACACCGCTGCTACTGCATATCAAGATGTCACTATCAATAAATAGGCTTCAAGGTCTATTATAAGAGCACTATAACAGGCATTTGTCCTTAAAAATATAAAGAAAGAGAAGCCATATGTATTTGTGAACATACTACAAAAATAGGCACTACAAAATAATGATAGGCAACATTAATTGAGTATCTACTAAGTGCAAGATATGTGACCCTATAATATGTACCTTCTGGCTGGGTGCGGTGGCTCATGCCTGTAATCCCAGCACTTTGGGAAGTCAAGGGGGGGTGGATCACAAGGTCAGGAGATCAAGACCATCCTGGCCAACATGGTGAAATTCCAACTCTACTAAAAATACAAAAATTAGCCAGGTATGGTGGTGGGTGCCTGTAAAAATCCCAGCTACTCGGGAGGCTGAGGCAGGAGAATCGCTTGAGCCTGGAAGGCAAAGTACAGTGAACCAAGATCACACCACTGAATGTTAGCCTGGCGACAGAGTGAGACTTCATCTCAAAAAAATATACATACATACATATATATATATATATATATATATATATATATATATATGCACCCTCTATATCTTATCTTACTTTATCTTCTCAATGAGTGAACTTATAATTGAGGACATGGGCCTAGAGCGGTGGCTCACACCTGTAATCCCAGCACTCTGGGAGGCTGAGGCAAGCGGATTGCCTGGGATCGGGAGTTCGAGACCAGCCTGACCAACATGCAGAAACCCTGTCTCTACTAAAAATACAAAAATAGCTGGGCATGGTGGTGCATGTCTGTAATCCCAGCTACTCAGGAGGCTGAGGCAGGAGATTTGCTTGAACCTGGGAGGCAGAGGTTGAGGTGAGCCGAGATCTTGCCATTCCACTCCAGCCTGGGCAATAAGAGCAAAACTCTGTCTCAAATAATAATAATAATAAATAATTGGGGACATGAATTCTTAGAGACAAAAGAGTTTACATAACTTATTCAAGGTCATATATTAGAAATTCGCAATGACTTCCAATGTGAATCTATACCTGTCTTGATCCAAAGCTCATCCTCTTCACACTCTAAAACTGAATGAATACTCAGACAAAGTGTTATGGAAAGAGAGAAACTAAAATAAGTGCAGTGCAGAGCTAATCTATTTACTTGAACTCTTGAATTATCAAAATACTGGCCTATGAGAATGATACATCTTTAATTCAGACACTTTTCTAATTGTTTCATAATTGTAGTGATGTATGTCTATATTTCATTGTCAAACACATGCATTAACTAAAGTGGAATAAGTAACAAATACAGTCACTTGAAAAAGAAAAATGTAATTAAAAATAACATCAACATTGTCCAGGACTTTTCTCAAACTCATTTATTACATATCGATTTTCCAATCTATTCCATAGCACTGTTACTCTCTCTACATACAATGGCTGAAAATCTCATCAGCAATATTTCAGGAATCAAGAAATGACTAAATGGAATTATTCCTTTTCTGAAAACATTTTAGATTCTTCCACAGTCTCTCAGAACTATAAAGCAAATAATAAATTTTATCTTTACCACACCCCTGGGTGGTTTCTTATGTTTCTTGAATGTTATATTCTTAAGCATTTCATTTTTTTCCCCAGGTTTATAGCAACAAAATAACAGAAGTTACTAATGAAGAGTCCCACAAAGAAAAAATAGTTGACTCTTTAAAAAATAATAGAATTTCTTTTCTTTTAGATTTACTTTCCACCCAAAACTTGGATTGAATTAGCCTTTCTCTAGGGGAAGAAATGTAAAACCCATTACCACAGTCACTCTATGTCTGAAAGCCTATAAAAAATTGGATGCTTTTTGGAATATTTTAGAAGGATAATTTGTGGTTCATAAAGAAATAAAATATTTAAACAATCTGCTATCTGCACATCATGTTTTGCCTGCAATTGCCCATAACAAGGTGAGTATATATATGCATTTATGTGTGTGCCTATAAATATATATGTGTGTGTGTGTGTGTATATATATATATATATGTATGTATATCTTATAACATGATCCAAATGTTTTCATTTTAACTTTCCACATGATTGAAAACAAACCACCCTGTTACAAACATTTAAATATAGAATAAATATTGCACTGCTAATATATACTTCTAGATAAAAATTAGGATTTTCAAAGCTACACATTCATCAAATTAATGCAAATATGACAAGTTTTAAATTTAAAAAGCAGCATTAGACAGGAAAAAAAATAAGTCAGAATTATAATGGGCCCTACAATAGCTCTAAAAAAGTTAGTTTTTCCCCTAAAGCCAATTACTTCTCATATTAGATTCATACTTTTTCAAGCTAATACCTGAACTTAAAAATATATATAAATGGGAATACATATTGTAAAAATTCCATCAACTCTACCAAAGTCTATTTGTTAAAATATTTCCATTAAAGTCAAAATCTAAAAAAGCCTTGACTTCAAGAGAATTATATTTTCTCTTAAACACAATTTATGAGAGATAAGAAGGCAGAGAGAAATAGCAAGAAAAAAAGAGGGGAACACAGTAGCATGAGAAAGGAAGGTCATTTTAGAAGAGGAAAAAGACAAATAAATGTCAAAATAAATCGTAGAAACTCCTGAAAAATAAAAAGCATTTCAGCATAATATCAAAATGTGAGTGCCATCATATCAAATGCAGTAGAGGGGTAAATGGTGCTCAGCTGTAATGTATTATGGTTACACATATTAAAGCAATGTAATGCCATCTGTATGTAAAATAGCAGCAAAACCCATAGTTGACAGAAGTGCTTACCTTCAAGGAATTCAGAGCATCCATGATCACCTCTGTTTTTATTTATCATTTTAATATGACTATACACTGGGTAGCAGTATTCCATTTGTTAAAATTAAAAAAAAAAAACTAAATTAAATACAATTTGTTTAAATTAAATAGTGGTTGCTAATTTAGGTTCCAGAGTTAGACTCCATAGGCTTGAAGTCCTAGTTTTGCATTTAACCAGATGTACAGCCAAGGGCAAGTTACTCATACCATCCAAACCTCCCTTTCTCTTAAGTGGATTTAATCTGAGTAACTAAAATATAGGGTTGTTTCAGAGGATAATGGAGACACTAAGGTATCATGTATACTACAGTACCTATACTATAGCACTCAATAGATGTTAGCCAGTAATATACTAACAACAACAAAAATAGCTTGTCATAGCGAAAAGCTCAAATTCTAGGCCTCTTGACTCCAAGGGCTATCTCTCTTATAAGACCTTTTTTTTTCTTTACAGAGACAATGGAATAACACCACTCATTCTCTCACCATGACTGTGCAATAGATCCAGTGCCTTGTTCTAAAAAAATGCAAAATGTTGTTTCATAAAACTTTCCATAATAATAATCTGACTACCAGATATTAAAATCCTATTATAATTATATATTAGGAAACTAACAGAAAATATAAGGTGCAATGAGAATTCAGGATTACTTTTAATTTTTCCATGGAGTCCTTGGAGAATGTTTTACAAGCTGCATCAATTTCCTTTCCTATCACGTCAAGGATGGATTCCTGTTCAGTCTCCAAGCAAAGAAGTTGATCCTTGAGCTGCAATCTGGCCTCTTCGATCCTCCTTAAGTGCTCTTCTTCAATGCTTATATGTTTTTCCTAAGGCATTGACAAGAAATTAAACAAGTTGATTAGTATTAAGTGGAAGCAAGGAATACTCGCTTCAACAAACTAAAAGAAGTGGATTAGAAAAGAAATCTGACTCCATCAGTCCCGTTACTTTACTAAAATAAAACTTTAATCTACTCATTAACTGAGGCAAAATTACAGAGTTCCGTAGTAGGGCAGTTTGGGAACTGGTGAGCAGATAGTCGACAAACAAAATCATAACAATTCTCTAACAAAAAGAAAAAAAGAAGTAGAAAAGAGAATCCTTTCCCTAATGAATGAGAGATTAAAACCTGATGTCAGACACTGACTTCCAGCTTTCACCGAACATTAGTAAAACACCAGAAAATATAAACTGCTAAATACGATGTTAGTTTCTTCATTTGAGGAAAAAAATAAGTGTTACCACCACTATCTCATCAAAACATAGTTTTAGGAAAGGTCTAAGTTTTCACATGCAATCATACCACATAAATGCTTTTGAGTCATGAAAATTTGAAAGAAAGATGGAGGTACTTTTCATCTTGTCATTATTTACTTAATGAAAAGGGGTTTCTAAGGAGCCCTTTAAGAGATTACAAGGACTTGGGAGCCCACTCTAGGTAAAAACAATTCTAAATCATTATGATTGTACAGTTCCTTGACTAGAGAAATTCCAAATGCATATGGCTTGTAATAAAATAACAAAGTCACTAGAATTGTATGTCTAAATGGTGGACCAAAGCCATGACAGCTGGCTATGACACCTTCAGTCATCACACTGTAACCTAATCATCTTCATCTGGCCTCTTAAATACGACAAAACCAGAGAAATTATGTGAGCAACAAACCCAACCTGAATTGAAAAGAAAACAAAGAAATCCACTCATTAAGAATTATGAAACGCAGAATGATATTTTACTAAAAGAAACATAAATGATATTTCCCTTCAATTCAACTTACTTTAAAAATAAATGAAACATCCTCTGCCAGGAAGGACAGACCCTTTCATAATCTATCTTCTGTACTTCTCTCTTGCCTCATCTTCCTCCCTTCCACTCTCTCAGAATTTGATGACTTACAGCAACTTACATCTGCCTACATATGTCTCCCCAGACCACATCTGACTTGTACAACTTGGCTTGAAGTTGTGCTACTTCAAAATGGGGCTGGTAGCCAAGAGACATTTATCTTGAGGAGTTTGCCTTAGTTCATCATCCGGGTCTGGATCTCAGCTTTGTAAACCTAGGAACTGAAGTTTATTTTTGGTACTCAGAGTGGTACTTTCAGCAGCAGAGTAACAATAAGCTCGCAAGAGATCAATGTGTATGAACTAGAAAGCCACTTAATTAACTACATTCGTTTACAATGAGAACCATGACTACCATGTGAATCAGAATGTCCATGTCAGCATAACCAGTACAGTTTCTCTCTATAGACAGATCTAGATGGGAAGGCAAACTATAATCAGACTATTGGTTAATGAACAGGAAATTAGAGCAAAGGGAGTTTCTTTTATGAAACAATGTTTAAACAGCATCGGGCTAATCAAAGTCCAATATGCTCACCATGCATCAGGAATTTATGAACCACAGTAACAGGGGTGCTCCATTCTTCTAGGCAGTGTTTGCATGGAGGGTGCTGAGGTACGTCTCCCTTTCTTCTTTTTCCACATTGAGGTTCTGTCCAAACTTTCCCAACCAATTGATATTAATACATCATTCTTTAGATTTACTGATATTTTCCCAAGTCTTGCTAACATTTAGGAGTTTTTTAAAAAATTAACATCCCAGCTCTGAAAAGTATTTGACAACTGTATCATTTACTCATTAGAAAGCAACCTTATTACTAAGTCTCTAGGTGATACTTGCCTCCCTACTGTTCCTATGTATCTACCACCTATATCTTCTTATCTTTCTAAGTTTATCCTTTAAGATGCTGTGTACTTTCTTCCTGAACTCCGAAAGCAAATCATTCCCATTGCATGTTAGGTATATCATAATTTTTAAATTTTTTTTTTCAAAATGTAATATAATTATTTGCTTGTATACCAAATCTCCCCCAATAAACTGCTAATTTTGTGAGTCCACAAAACACATTTTTAATCATTTTAAAACTCCCCCACTTTGTTGAATAGATGATTTAAACATTTTTTGAAGACTCAAATTCAATATGCCAAATATGATTTCATCAATTATTATGCAAAGCTTATAACCTCAGAAGTTACTGAGGTGTGCTAGGAGGTTTCTTCCACACATACATAAGGCCTCCTGATGGTGCAGTATTTTCACGGTCTGATATTAACAAAGAAAATAAATACCCTATCGGGCTACTGACATATTCGAAGACTGCCCATATTTTACATCTAAGCAATTCAAAATAATGTTATAGTTGATCTTTCTTTTCTCATTTCCCTCATAGCCATCTCTCTTTCCTCCACTACTACTTTTCTGTGGTTTTCATTTCTTTTCTCTTATAAGAAGAAGACAGAACTATTTCAATCTTTCGATATTCTTGAGAATGTTGATATTGTCAGAAAAACCTCTGTAAGTTCAGTCTCTTTAGAAAACATAGAAAACTTCATTGTCCATTTACTGTCCTCTGTGGGAGAGTTGCATGCTATATCCAAGCTCTCTTTGGGTAAAAACTATAGGACTATGGGTTCACATGACCTTAGAGATCAGTAAGTTCAACTACTTGCTCCTTCAGGATTCCCTTATTTGACATTTTTGACAAATCAGCCATCCAACCTCTAAATGAACATCTCAAGTGTCAAGGAACAGAGTACCTGACAAAGCTGTGAACTCTCTCCATCAGTGTCCGAACTATATGCAACAATTAAAGTAAACAAATCTTCCACCCCAACTAAGCCTTCTAACCTTCCAGGTGAAAGTTTCTGTTCTTTTCTCCTATATTTTATTTGATTAGGTTTCAGACACATAGTGGTCTCCATTTTCTGCTTGTACTCCAAGATCCTAAATCTAAGAGTTAAGTGAGCTCTTCTATACCACACTTCAGCAATTGTAATTTCATTTTCATTCATTACCTCATTCAACAAATATTTACCTAAAGCCTAGTCTAGACAAGGCATTCTTGTGTGCACTAGAAATGGAGTAAGTGATTGCTTCTTGACCTTTTGGCTAAGATCAAGTGTGGAGATAGAGTAAATGACACAGACAGGCAGATTCCTACTCTCATAGAGTCAACAAATATTTCCATGAAATGTCATTACTTTTGTACCATTCTTCTGGTTTGGGCATATTTATTTGAAGAATAATTACGGTACCCAATGAATTAGTGCTTTCTCCCAGTTTCATGTTTTAGAAATAGATGTGCTGACTAAGTAAACACAGCTAGTTCTGAAGGAGGGGTGGGACCAGAAATTGGCCAAAGTTAATCCAAGTGTCCTGTTAGATTTAGAGGCATTCAAATAAGTAAGGGCAGATGATAATATTTAGGCATTATTAAGGCTATTCTCTGGTCTTCTGGTCAATTCAGAGGGGACAAATATCCCCTGATTCTACAAGATTAACAAAAAGCTACCACATTTCTAGAGAACCAGAGGCAAAATGTGTTATTTTAGACAATGCTTAGAAATACAGAAGACAAAGTCTAACTTCAGTGTTTCAGGGTGAATGGACACAGATGCCTGGAGCTTAGGGAATGTACATAACTTCTTTTGGAGAGCAGAAAGGCAGGCAGATTAAGCTGACTACAGCAGTCTATGAGATCCAAGAAGAAGGATACCCTAGACAATGGCTGAGTCTGAGAAAGAAACTCAGAGAATAAACCAACCCCTATTTTTACCTTTTAAGTAACTAAAGCTCAGACAAAGTAACTTGACTGAAGTGAAAGAACCTATTAAATACAACCCCATAACCTGATCCCCTGACTAGTATTCTCTCTTAAAATGCTAGAAAGGCCAAGGCTTTAACATTAGAATTTAGAAAAACATTGTGAAAAATTCAGAAAAGTTTTCAGCAGGTTATGTGGGGACTAATGTAGTCCTAAAGTAAAAAGAAGGAATCAAAAATTAAATTCTGAATGAGCCTTATCATAAACGAAAATATATGACACATTGACATATTCAGAATGGAACACAATCAAAAGCACATTGAACATGCATAATATCCCAGACTTTTAGGGGCTATCCATCTATGCTGAAGAAGTACCTGTGTATACACAAAATCTGCTTTAGTCCAATTTTCAAAAGTGTGCTAGTCACACACTAAACAAGGTATAGTTCCATCGTCAAGACAGCAAAGGTTTTATGAAGCCTCTATTTTAGGACAAGAAAGGCTCATATTGTTGACACTTAAGTATATTTTAGGACAAGAAAGGCTTATATTATTGACACTTAAGTATAAAGAAAACATAAAACTGCTGACAATCTCATGATAAACACACACACACACTGCTGAGTGGTTTGATAAACTGATCTATAATTCAAAAAATAAGAAATGCTGTTGTATTTATAGATTTATGTTTCAGCATGCTCTTTACAACTGAGAGCATTCACTTTCCTAGAGGCACTAAAGATCATAAGGAGATAGATCTTATCAGAAATATAAAAACTTCAATAAAACAAGAGCATGTCCAAAATAGTGTCTCTTTGGTAAAAGCTTATGAGATTCCTTCAATGTCTTAAGAGTTCCAGAAATGCCACTTTATTTACAATATGGCTATTATGTGAAATAAAAACAGTTCATTAAAAACCTTAAACAGAAATATGATGTTAAATAAAGTACACTGATATGACTAAATAAGTCATTAATTTACAAAGGTAATGGTTTTCCTTCCCTGAAAACTACTTGAGTAAGCAAGTATGACAATATTTCAGTCCCAAGGCCATCTTAACATACATCAACAAAGGGTAGGGGAAGATAGGATAAAAGGTAGAGAAAGAGAGAAATCAAATAATATTAAAGGCTGAAATTAAAACTAATGGAATTTAAGCAAAGTTACTGCAAATACAGCTTGTTAAAACTACTGACATGCACACATCCCCAAAA